TACGAATATATACAATAATAAAAATATTATATCAGTAGACAATATAAAAGTTGAAATAATTGTAGACTTGTATTTATTATGTGCGTATGTGTCCGCATTGATTGTCGCAGTCAATGGTGTGCGCAGAGCAAGGAATATGGGGTCCTATCCCCTACCCCCTATTGCCTTACAAATACAACTATATGAGAATTTTTCCCAGTTTTCCTTCGTTTTTCCCGGTTTTCCTATGTTTTATCCCAGTTTTTCAAATTTGCTAGCAAAACTCCGGAGACATGACTTCTCTAAAGTACCTCCCGAGTAAATTTCTTTTTAGAAACATTGCTATTATTATAAGTTAAAGCAAAATTGCTAGTTGAAAAGTTGTGTACAGGAAAAAAAATCGTAATATTTTAGTAATATATTTCGTACATTTTCCCGTTTTTTTCAGTTTTTCAAATTTGATGAGAAAATTCCTGAGAAAATGAAAAAAAATGACTTCTTTTAAGTACTTCCCCATACTGATTTCTTTTCAGAAAAGATGCTACACTTAGAAATCTGAGCAAGTGTTCTGGTAGAAAAGTTAAGCACAGATAAAAAAAACAAAACATCCATATAAATCTATAAGATTCTTCGCTCCACTCAGAATCTAAAATTCGAAAAGTAAAAGAATATTCTAAGATATAGGTAAGTAATTCTTGTAAAATCAAAATCGACAAAAATAATTTATTGTTATTTTTATTAAACTGTAAATTAAATATAATCGTAGTGTTTTTACCATGGTTTATATTAACTTATTTGTGAAAAGAAGCTCGAATCTTGAAACCTATTTCCAAGCTTCATATTAATTATGTTAAAAAAATGAACTAAAAATTAAATTTTAATGACAAAAAATGTTAATAAGATAATTTCTTATGTATATCGTTATCGCATAAAAATTGTACAAGAATATACAGTGTGTTTCACTTAAATGATAACACGAAATATTTTTTTTCGTTTATCTCGGATTGAAATTAGATTTTCAAGAGAAGATATAAGATATGGTGTACTGAACAACTTATTTTTTTCATATAAATTTTCAAATGTCTTACTCTTTTAACGTGTGCATGTGCAATAAAACTTGCATTTTTTTAGAATGGAAACACCTATTTTCATTACTTAATATGGATAAACAATTTTTTTTCAAGTAACTTTTTTAAATAAACTTTTTCCTTCGAAAATTGGCCGAATAACAGCTAGTCAAAATTTCAATTTCAATTATTGAATTTACAGCAATCATATGATTTTTAAATTTTCATATAGTTTTATTTGCACCAATCAATTGATTGCCTTAATTTTATATTTCAGATTCTGAGCGGAGCGAGGAATGTATAGGTTTTACAATGATGTTTATTTTTTTTTTTTATCTATGAATTACTTTTCTACCAGAAATTTTGCTTCGATTTTCAACTATAGCACTTTCTCTGGAAGTAAATCTAACTGGGATCATACTTATTTGAGGAGGTCATTTTACGATTTTCCCAGCAGTTTTCATAATAAATGGGAAAAAACGTAGGGAAACGGGAAAATAGGTACAATATTAAACAAATATTATTTAAGAAAATATATAATGCATATGTAATTATTTTACCATAATTTGATATAGACATTGATCGTGATATTATGTACATTATTTACTCGAAAATCCTTAATTTTGACTAGCTGTGATTTAGCCAATTTTCAAGATAAAAGAAAAGTTTAGTTATATATACTTAAGTTGAACAAAAAAAAATAAAATACGATTTATCCAAATCCAATGTTGAAAATGGGAGTTTCCATTTTAAGAAAAATACAAGTTTTATTGCTCATGCGCACACTGAAAGGGCAAGCAATTTTAAAATGCATAATATAAGTGTATTTCCTATCTTTTCTTGAAAACCCCATTTCAATCCGAAGTCGGCGAACAGAAATATTTCTTGTTACCGTTCGAGTGATAAACACTGCTTATAGTTAACGATAATAACATGGGCACACATACATTTAAACACGGGGCAATTCCGACAAAATATAAAACAAATAACAATAATAATAAAAATAAAAATAAATGAAAGAAAGTACCAGAAACGCGCATGGAACCCTCACCGCGAGTTTACTTTGTAACCAATAATATTAGTAGCCCGCATTAGATCCGATGGGCTGAACGCCATGGCGCGGTTATCCGTATACAGGCCCGGTGGAAGGAACAGGCTACACAGGCCTATGCCTGGGGCGGCATTATGTAAGAGGCGGCATTTCCTTAGGCAGGGCAGTATTTAGGATAATATGTTGTAATAAAAAAATTTATTATTTTAAAGTATTTAAATTTTAACGAAAATGTGGACTGTATAAATGTACTGTGGCTTAAACCCGAAGTACATATATGTTTGAAGATACGGTTAAGGGGACAAGGGGTAAATAGAGAGATTAAAAACGAAAGGGTGGAAAATTTTTATTTTGCCTATGTATGCATTTTGTCTAGGGCCCTGTCCATATATTATTATTTACTATTCATTGCATTTATTTACTACTGNTGAACGCCATGGCGCGGTTATCCGTATACAGGCCCGGTGGAAGGAACAGGCTACACTGGCCTATGCCTGGGGCGGCATTTCCTTAGGCAGGGCAGTATTTAGGATAATATGTTGTAATAAGAAAATTTATTATTTTAAAGTATTTAAATTTTAACGAAAATGTGGACTACATAAATGTACTGTGGCTTAAACCCGAAGTACATATATGTTTGAAGATATGGTTAAGGGGACAAGGGGTAAATAGAGAGATTAAAAACGAAAGGGTGGCAAATTTTTATTTTGCCTATGTATGCATTTTGTCTAGGGCCCTGTCCATATATTATTATTTACTATTCATTGCATTTATTTACTACTGTATAATATAGTACAAATTTGTTTCAATTTTAATTTTTATAAAATCTCCGAATTTTCTTCGCATGTTAGATTGGGAAATTTCCCATAATCAAAACCACACGACGGCATTAAAACGATTTGAAATGAAATGAAAACCGTTTCAATCGTTCAAAACGGTTTATCAAATGAACAACGAACAATAATATTACAAACGCGTTTTCGTAATCAATTTATCTGTTTTTATTTGCTCGTTGCATGGCCAGTTATTATTATCTGTTATTTTAAATAGTCACGTCTCGAATTATTTGTTTTTTTTTTTCATACTCCACAAATCCTTATTTAAAATGAAAATATTGTAAAGTATAATTTGTGTATTGGATTCAATTTTAACAAGATAAGCAAAATTATACATCAAATCGGTTTGGGAAATGTTCACTAATCCGTTTTCATATCTATGGACATTGGACATGATGTAAGAGAAGGCGGAACATAACCGTACTACTGACTTCTAAGCATTATATATAACTTACAATATTTTAAGAAATTGAAATTGAATTGCGTAACTATATTACAAATATTGTTAGTTCTAATAATATGTATGCATTTAAAAAAAAATCATTACATTAACTTTCAAAAAAAATATCCAACTTTTGAAAGAACTTAAAAATAAGGTTTTGCCCCATATGTGGGATAAAGTAGTTGAGATTAGTCTTGGGTTGAAACCGTATGAGGATTTAATTATCTGAACTAGTAAAAATATAATTGATAATAGGTACACAATAACTCTAATAAAAATTAATTAATGACAAAAACAGTTAGTTCTTCTTTTATAAAATAATTATATTGTCAATATATCTATACTACTATATAAAATTAAGTCGCTTTTTTTTGTTCGGGATAAACTCCGAAACTACTTATTCAATCGTTGTGCAATTTTTTTTAAATTAAAGAGGACATCATAGAGAAGGTTTTAGGCATAATATTTAGTCCGATAAAGTTAATTAATAATTAGTTATTATTAATTAAAATAATTGTATACCTATATATATTATTGTACATATTGTGCGGAACGGCGACCCACGGGTTTCCAGCCACCTGCAACCTGACCTTTTTGTATTGTGTTTGATATCGGCGTGGTTCCGAGAAGTTTATCGCACGTCTTTGAAAAGATCTTACTTATGGCCTTATATAAAAATATTAGAACTTAAAAACTAATATGAAAGTGATATGTACAGATCAAGATAATATAAATTTTGTCAAGATTTACTTTTAATAGGCAATGACGAATTTCAAGCAACGAATGATAAAATAAATATTAAAAGTTTCTGTAATTGAGTAGCCATTATAAAAAAATTGATTCAAAACGTGNTATGGCCATATATAAAAATATTAGAACTTAAAAACTAATATGAAAGTGATATGTACAGATCAAGATAATATAAATTTTGTCAATATTTACTTTTAATAGGCAATGGCGAATTTCAAGCAACGAATGATAAAATAAATATTAACAGTTTCTGTAATTGAGTACCCAATATAACAAAATTGATTCAAAACGTGTACATTCAAAATATATCTTCTAAATCACTGAAATGGTTTCAAGAAAGGGCTATTTTGTCACCATTTCCCAACTGAATGTCTTAACTCTTTAACGTCTTATGGAGTCCCACCACATACACTGATTTTAAAAATAGGGGCACCTATTATTTTAATGAGAAATTTGAGCCCACCCACACTTTACAACGGNAAATATTAAAAGTTTCTGTAATTGAGTACCCATTATAACAAAATTGATTCAAAACGTGTACCCGAACATTCAAAATATATCTTCTAAATCATTGAAATGGTTTCAAGAAAGGACTATTTTGTCACCATTTCCCAACTGAATTTCATAACTCTTTAACGCCTTCTGGAGTCCCACCACATACACTGGTTTTAAAAATAGGGGCACCTATTATTTTAATGAGAAATTTGAGCCCACCCACACTTTACAACGGTACATGACTGCAAATAAAAAATTGAGAAGTTCACTCGAGTGCATAATTTTAACGGGCTGTGGTAATGGAAAAACGGTTTTATTACCAAAAATACCAATTATACCCTCAAATTTACCTTTTAAGTTTAAACGTATTTGATTTCCCGTTAAATTAGCATTTGCAATGACTATAAATAAAGCACAGGGACAAACACTTAACGTTGCTGGAATTGACCTAAGCGTTCAATGTTTTTCNTTAACGGGCTGTGGTAATGGAAAAACTGTTTTATTACCAAGAATACCAATTATACCCTCAAATTTACCTTTTAAGTTTAAATGTATTCAATTTCCCGTTAAATTAGCATTTGCAATGATTATAAATAAAGCACAGGGACAAACACTTAACGTTGCTAGAATTGACCTAAGCGTTCAATGTTTTTCTCACGGTCAACTATTCGTCACCCTGTCACGTGTGACATCCAGATTTAATTTGTATATTTTTGCCCCCGATCCAGAAAAAGTTGATAACGTCGTTTACAAAGAAATTTTTTAAGTCTTTGAATTATCAAAATACTGGNTGCCGGGTCAGCTAGTATTATATAATTGTATACAAATAGGTATTTTGAATTTTTTTATTAGAACAAAATAAAATATTAAATCAATACACATGTAATACTTTTCCTTTATTTATAAAAAACATTTTGTAGAAAAGTTGACAAAAATGTATAAATAACAATTCTAACAAAATATGACGTTTAAATATTTATGTAAATGACATATGCTTTTTTGACCCAACGGTTTTACCCCACAATAGATGGTTTCATATTATCAACAATTAAGTAAAAAGCATAAACAATGTTCCTCTAAATGATATCATTTAATAAACTTCACTAATTTTATCGTAATTTTACATAGTTCTCAATGATATCAAACAACATTGAGTATGGTAATTTTTAATCATAAAATATTTAAAAAAAAAAATAGCGATTACACACATTTCGTGATAATGGGAATTTGAGCGGGAATTTATTAAAATAATGCGGGTGATCAACAGTTATCCGTAACAATAAACATAATATGGTTCAAAAATGTATTTTTAACAATAAGTGTTAATTAGTAATAATGCACGTTAGGTACAAATGTGTGTAATTAAATGATTCGGTTTTCATAACGCGCATTTTTATTAAATTGAACAAAATACACACAAAGCTACGATTAAATGCACACTGACTGCTAGTAATATTACATTAGTGAACATATTGTTATCTACATTGCAGATTATAACTAAACTTTAAATTGTATAGCCGATAGGAAATCGGAATATCCAGACTACAATTTATGTACATTTCAAAAATATCAGTCGACTGTACAATTTAAAGATTATCTAGTGTTATCTAGAGTATTTACTCTACGTTTTAGTTATAATATTACCTGTTATATGTTCACTAATATAAGTTTTTACGGTTTTTCGTTGTTCTGTGTGTATTTTTTTAAAATATATACATTATATATATATTATACAAAATATACTCGGGCCGCAATTTACACACAAAATTTAAAATGGGACGCAATTTACAGCGACCCCCGGATTGAACCGGTGAGTTTCCGAAAAATCTCCGTGAGCCACGCAAAATTATATTCGTTATTAATCGAATTTATGTCATTTTGATAATATTTTGTATGATTTTGGACCTGCAAAAATTTTAAAACTCGGTGGACCGATATGCGTTCCCAATATCCGACGCTGTTTCTGTCGATACATACAATTTAAGATAAACAACAATCGACTAACGACTTTTAACGGTGACGAAACCACATTTAATCGCAACTTAGATTAACAACTGAACGCGACTATAGCTATATCTTTAATGCCCGGGACACGGGAAATTTAACGAGCTTTCGGGTTGTTTAGCGGAAAGTCATATAGATTCTAGAGTAGGATTTCCTATTTCCGTGTGGGAACAAACGACAAGCGGTCCGAATGGACGACGAACGTTTGTGAGAGTTTCCGTTTCAAGTATACAATATAATTATTATTCTATATACTATACAAATCTACACACTACACACATTTATACATTTTCAGAAACATTACAACAAGTTTGAATAGACATTAAAACAGTAATTCGAACGATCACCCAGAGAACGAGAAAACAAAAAGGAAGTAGGTACACAACGCAAGGAAACGGCATTCGTTGAAGAAAACATTAACGAATTTCAGACTAATAATATAATATTTAGCTTGGATGATATTGTCAATGACATTTGAACGTCGGCCTTTATAAGTACTAAAAAACACAAAAAAAAAAAAACATTAAAACATACAAATTAGTACAATCGCTCAAGTATTATAAGTGAGTACAAAGAAGTCAGTTTACCTCCCCAGTGGTGCGCTCCGGATAACTCTAAACAGACTTCGAAAAAAGTTTAAAATACCGTTAAAAAATACGGACATACTTCACACGATGGGTGGACCACTGTTATAAATGAGAAGTTGCGAAGGTGGGATATAGAGTTCTCCTCAATGTACATCCGTATGCAACAATTAATCATTGCAAACGAAAAACGATTCTAAGCGGAGTTTGGTTATGTATGTTTTGAAAGGCCGAAGTATTTACGATTTTTGTCAAATTTTGGTTTTAACCCTTATATTTAAACAAATAAAATAAAAAATACTACATTTAACTAAATTTTTTTTTACCACTAAATATGACTTGTAATAAACCTCTTAAAAAAATTTCACACACTTCTGTTAAGTCTAATAATTTATTACAGAGTATTTACCAAATATATAAATTTCGTGAAAATGATTTAAATGTTTTTGAAAAATGCATCACGTTTAGAAAAGGTAGATATAAGTTTTCCGTCCGAATTTTAAGTTTGTACGAACATTTTGATTTGAATTACAAAAAAAAAAAAAAAATAATAATAACAAAATTGAAAATGATAAAAGCATTATTTTAGTAAATGTTCCCGGTTTTCCTAAGTTCCCCCCCCAATTATTATGAAAACCGCTAGAAAAATCGACAAAGTGAATCTCGTAAAGAACCGACTGGATAAAATTTCCTTTCAGAAAAGATGCTACATTTGAAAATTGGATCGAAATTTCTGGCAGAAAAGTTGTGCGCGGGGGTAAAAAAAAATATCAAATATCGTTGTAAAACCAATTCGCTTCGTTCAGAATCTAAAATACGAACTTATTTTCTCCTCGCAGGGACGCACTCGAGTGACACCTTATCCCGGACGTACTCTCGGGACGTTAAATATAGGAGGAGGAGGAGTGGGGGTCATTTCGGGACGCGCTCGTTAAGCGATGCGTACCACTACGTTCCGTACAGAAAAAAAAAGAAAAAGCCTCGTGTAAAAATATCGGCATTTACCCAGGCATATTCACGTGTATATTTCCCGTACGGTTTCCCGTGAAAAATTATCGTTCGGCACGCCGCCGTACAAGGGGGAAATCGTCGAAACGTCCGATAACACAATGTAAATAATTTATTATCGCTGTAGCTCGGCCGGCGGCGTCGTGTTTCGCGTGATTGAGCGGCCGCCGCGTGTCGTCCGAAATCCGTGTCTCGCGACCGGATACCGCGAGAATATTGAATAATGCGCCATGATCTATTACTATTATTATTACGGTCATCGTACGACATCGTGTACGTATTATATTATTATAATACAGGCACCAGGGTAATATTATAGTAATAATATTGTTATTATTATTATGCGGAAATCTTTGGCGTGAACTGATCGATGCGGCGGCGCGGTGCCGTTTTTCGCGATGGAAAATCGCATCAATTTTACGACGACGTACGGCGCAATAGTAAGTACCCGTGTACAGGGATGGGACGACACGGCGGCGGTCGGGAAAAAATATTTTCGGAACGTTTTGCGGGCGGCGGCGGCGGCGGCGTCGGCGGTAACGCCTATAGTACGAAAACTCGGCCGACCAATCGGCGGTGAACGGCCGACACGGACGCGGACGAACGTACCCGAACGGACCGACGGAATTTTACGCGCGCCGCCGCCACCGACGCCGCCGCCGCCCGGCCGGCCGACCGCCGCTGTTGTTATCGCCGTCGTCGTCGTGTCGTCCGCGTCGTCGTCGTTGTCGTTATCGTCGCCGCTCTGCCTTCGCTGCCGCCGGCTAGTGACTCCTACCGGTTAGTCGCCGCGGTACAGCTGTTCCGCGCGTGAGTCCGTCGAACAACGCGCAAAGCGCCGTCGTCTTGTTTATTATTTGTTTACAAAATAATACGAGTATCGCGCCGCCGTCGCCAACGCTGTTCATCGTCAGTGCGTTTTACTTTTTTTTTTTTTTTTTCTTTCGTCTTCAACATTATTTTCCCGATAATTTTACCACCCGTAACTTCGGTGGGGGGACGTTTAGACGACTCCGCGGCTCTTCGGGGCGTACACGGTGGAAATTTAAAAAAATATGAGAGCTTTACGCAATAGACGGGGCGAAAAAAAAATTGTTAACAACGACGATTGTGTCGTGGCCAGTGCTTTACACGACTCCGCGGTGCCATTTTACGACAACGAGGTGATTGATTTGGTTTCGTCTGACACCGAAACAGAAGCTGAACAAGTACAGGTGGAAAAAATCGTCCACAAAAAGCGATCCAACAATCCACGTTCCAACGTGCAAAATCAACGTGAGTTTGAAGGAATAAGTTATAACGCTAATCGATCCGAGAGACGTTCTAGATCTCGCGTTCGGAATAATCGCAAGTACCACAAGAGAGAGGTAACGCCGGTCGGACCTATATTTTTGTGGGCTTATAAAAGAGAGACGGAAATATTAAAAGTGGTTTGCGAAAACATTGATAACCGACTTCGGTTGGTGAAAACGTCCTCAGGGGAGTGGAAATCCGCTCCCTTGACAAAAGTGCGGTTTAGAGGGCCTTGGAACCCTTCATCTCATAAAAACCGAGACGAAACGGATAAAAAAACCGGATCTGACGACAATAAACGTAAGGACGACTCTGGAGATGAGTCTGACGATGAATCTGGTGGCGATTCTGACCGTGAATTGGACGGTGAAGCTGTCTACGAACCGAAGGAAGTAGGTCCCGACGAAACTGCTGTTGAAACCGTCCAAGAAACACCAAAAGAGAGAGAAGTAATTTTTGTGGACCTGACCGAAGATTCAATTGATTTTGTGGACACTCTAAGTAGTGACGAAGACAAGGAAGAACAAAGGGCTACAATCGATCGAGCGCTCGAGATGATCGACCAGGATCCGGCATTGAACAAAGACTCGAAGGTCTCGTTACCTGAAGTTGAGACGGCCACTCTTAAGTTACCCGAAGGTACGACTATTCATCAGGTAAAGGCTGTGGAAATGGTAAATAGACCCGTTGCTATAACACCGTCATTATTATCTCCTACCAAAACACCATCGCAATGCACTTTCGGTGAGTTGACTATAATACCACAGCAGCAAGAGCAAGAACAACAAAAACAACAACAAGAGCAGCAGGCACAACAAGAGCAGCAGGCACAACAACAGCAACAAGCACAACAAGAGCAGCAGGCACAACAACAGCAACAAGCACAACAAGAGCAGCAGGCACAACAACAGCAGCAGCAGCAGCAACAAAAACAACTACAACAACAACAACTACAACAACAACAACTACAACAACAACAACTACAACAACAGCAACTACAAAAACAACAACTACAACAACAACAACTACAACAACAACAACTACAACAACAGCAACTAAAACAACAAGAACTACAACAACAAAAACTACAACAACAACACCTACAACAACAACAACAACTACAACAACAACAACAAAATGAGCCATTGAATCTGGAAACCGTAGGTAAGCGATCTTCTTACAAATTAAAATTACAGGAACCACCGTATAAAAGAAAACGCAGCGAACCGGTAAAACACGAATATGACGCTCTGGCCCAACTTAAGGACGTGCTGTCTGACCCCAAGTTGACCGTTCCCGATCCCTTGATTGTTCCCAGGGATAGACTCGCTGCCTTAGTAGCCAGCCCTGCTTCAGAAATTCCGAAACTCCTACTATCCCAACCGCCTTTGTTGCCACCATTATCGAATACCGAACTGTTGACAATTTCGTTGTCGCATCTCAAGTATTTGTTGCAACAGCAACCAGGTTTTATCGAAGAAAAAAAGGCCATCGAAGGTACACAATCAGCTGGAAATTTCGACCAAATGCTATGGTCGTACTTATCATCTAAAGACTTGAATTCGACCGTTGACAATGCGGATCTTATTCCTAGCTTATTGAGCCTATTAGTGCCTAACCCGCCCGCCGTTCAACAAACGTTCAATTACCCGCCTCAAAAAAATCAATGGAACGATATCTATTACGGTGGAAATGCCGCACCGCCATACGATTCCACTACTACTGCTACAGCTGCTGCTGCTACAGCTGCTGCTGCTACAGCTGCTGCTGCTGCTGCTGCTGCTGCTGCTGCTGCTGCTGCCTCCGGAGGCTACAACAAATCCGACGCTAGTTACACATCAGTATCACCACTGCCACCACAGCAGCAACAACCACAGTTACAACTACCCTCTCCAGTGCCACAAAAATATCCACAAATGCCGCCAATACAACCAATACAGCCTCAACAAAAATCACCGATGCTACCACCGGCTCAACAACCGCTGCAAAAGTCGCGATTACCATCGCCTTCTGTTCAACATAATGTCAAACATCGAGTCTGTCAAGATCCATTTTGCACTAGATCGCCGACTACATGCTACGAAAGCTGCTGTGTTAAGAGCACTGCTTACAATCCGTTCACTACTGTGGCCAATACGGGTTGCAATCCATATACCGTATCTCCCACTGGCAGTTACGGAACCAATGCGAAGAATAATTATTCCCCGGCTTACGCCGTATACGCATCCGATGGCACCGCCGCTTGTTGTTATTCTCCTCAGATGGACTACGGATACAGCGGCCAATCTACTGTGCAATCGATGCCGCGAAAGTCGCCGTACAGTCGCGGCCAATACAATTACCAGAATCACGGTTTTGATCAGCATCAACAGAGACACATCACGGAATACGGAAATAACGGCGTTGCAGCCAGCAACAACATTGGCGTCGATCGTCCCTACTCCAATAAGCCACAGACATCGCCGTCACCAGTGGCCACTGTTAGTCGGGAGACCGTTGCTAGTAGACCGTTGCTGAAGGCCAAACTCAAAGTCAAAAATCTAGTCGACCCCAACTACAAACACAATCTTATCAACTACGAAGGAGCGCTTCATCTTGCCAAAACTAATCCACAGGAACTGATGTCTTCGCCATTGTGGCATCCATTATTCAGCGGGTAACTATCACACTACATTAATATTTTTATACATACATAATAGTTTATACTCGTATATTTATAGAATTATTATTAATTATCCATATACAATATTATTATGATGGACGCGTTTAGGGTATAACAAAGTGAATGGTAATTTCTAAAGTCATGATGAAAATCAATTTTAACCGCAAAAAAATTGATATAGTGTATCTACTATACGGGTGTATTTATCAAAACAGTTTTACTAGTAACAACTTTTAAAGTAAACTCGTGGGTGCCCAGTTTTCTAATTTTCTCGAAATGTCACATATAAAAAAAAAAAAAAAAAAAAAATGATGAATAAAATTGTTATTTATTTATTCGTAGAGTGCTTACAAGTAGTGCCGAAACTAGGAAACTTGACATCGGAAATTAAAAATACTAAGAGCCCCTATGTGGTTGTGGCTATCCCCTACACTTCACTTAAAGTTCTTATGTTTATAGAATGTAAACCGCAAAAATGACGCGGCATTTTTTATATTTACATATCTATTTCTATGAACACGATTGTATAGTCAATAAACCGTTGGATAGGTTCATAGATATTAAACTGTATTAAGTTATTGTTAAAATATTCGTGGGTAATTATTAAATATTTGAATAAACATTTTTAATTTTTAATTTAATTAGTTAAAATTTAACATTTATCAAACAGACTAAAAGTTTGTTTTGTGTTGTTAGGAAAAAAAAAATATCTGATTTCAACTGTAACATTCAAAGTTTAAATATTGTTATAACCAAACAGTGTTTGTTCTACATTTATCATCATTTCAGTAATATACGAGTTTATATACGCATTACCGTAATCGACGACGATGTATGTTAAAATAACGACTGATCGTGACATTTTTGTTTGTTGCGATCGTAGACGAATAAGTATAATATATAATGTTTGTCATTTGAGTATTGAAATTAGTTGTGTATTTTATTAAAATGGGCGTGATAATTATAATTGAAGGGTTTGTCTATTCGTATAAATTATTTACTATTCCTCCCTTAATTAAGTGATTTGAGAATTAAGATAATGAATAATAGAATCGAAAAAGTTTGTATATCTATCAATACATGTACATTACAAATAATACGCAATTAAGTCACAGAAAATTCTACGTTCGGTAATAAATCCCCACCGCAAATTCCTAGTTCGGGCACTGCTTACAAGCACCGGAGCACCCCGGCAATCAGCGCCCACGCGTCAACTGCCGATATTTTTACCCATAACCAGTATTTTTGAATGCTTCAATAGTTGTACATAATATAGTGGCTATAGCTAGTATAGAGTAGCAATTTTTTTTTTTTTAACAATATATTTAGTATTTACATCAACGAAAAATTTGTATTTAAGTTCGTTGAAGTCTTTAACTTAAATCTGAAAACATAGAGATTTACATTAACTATCATCAATAATAATCTTAGAATCTTCATAAATAGTAAAAAGCATTAGAAAATTAAAATGTATATAATTTTTTAGTTAAATCATAGGTATATAATTATTATGGATTGATAATTAATTTGTTAACTTATTGACTTTTTATAACAAAATAAAAAAAAAATGCGATAGAGTAGATGATTAAACGAATGAGTGTTTAATAAAAATAGATACATATCAATTACCAATCAATTAAATACTTATAAGGTTCGCGTCAATTAGTTTAAATTACCTAATAAAAACTAATTAAATCGTGTTAAATGATTTTTAAACTCATTTTTTTTTTCGTACTATAGATAAATTACCCTTACAGCATTTTTCGATTGTATACATTTATAAATTTAAATACCTATTAAATTTTTACAGTTTATACAACATTAAATATATACAAAAATTTAAATTTTTTCTAACCAAAATAATACATAATTATCTATAAATATATGAATATTATTATTCTACTTTCATTAAATAATAGAGATTTATAATATTGTTTAAAATGTATAAATGTATTAAATATGTACAGAGGTACGTGATTAAATAATTATTCAACATTAAATAAAGAATATTTACATGATAATTATTTCTATTATAAAATTTTAACTGCCAGTTGTTTTAAAATTTATATTTTCGACTGTTATTATGCATTTGATATTTAATAAGATCTATTGTTTAGAACGGAGGGGAGGTAGATATTGGGGTTATCCGGTGTATATTGTTTAAATTGGTGTCATTTCATAACTTTTGAATCTGTTATGATCATATATTTACCCTCGAGGACGAAGGTAGGGAGTATAGGTGTTGGGATTATACACGGGGTAACGGGGTACTTTATAGGATGGTGTTATTTTATAACGTATGAATTCGTCATGAGTACAAATTTTTTTTCTGAGGAGATACAAGAGGAGAGTGGTAGTCTAGTTTGAGATGGAGCACAAAGTGAATATATTTTGAGCGGTGTCATTTCGTCACGCTCAAAACCGAAACGTCCATACGCTCACCCTAAAAAAGACGTTTTAATTCAAAAATAATATGAAGAAAGTGTTTATATAAGTATTAATAAAATTCAATCAATAGGTACAAACTTATTATTGTTATTTCAAAAATTCCTGGGGGTTCAGAACCCTAGATCTCTAGATACGGTCGTGGTGCCTTCCAACGATTTCCCTCTGGTCTAAGCCAATTGCCTGAGCTATTGGTTCTGATAACCATGTAAATGAAATTAGTTGTGGGTTTTATTATATCATACTATTTTATTATATCGTTAAATTTAAATATTCTGCTAATCACTGTAGTTGGCAGTTAGGTAGGCGTAGCCGATAGGATTTAGCCATTATGTTAATATAATTCATATGAAGCAAGTTCCTATCTCATCGTCTACGTATACCATTTAACCCATTTTAACCACGTAATCCATTTCTTTTTAATATTGATGAAACATTGTCTTTTAGATATTTTTTTAAAAAGCGTTTGAAACGTGGTTAATAATCATTTATTAGACAATTCATAATTTGCAATTGGTTATAACTCGTAAAACAAATATTTAATAATTGTTTTAGTACATTTTTTTAAATATTATGTAAATATTGAATAAAGATTTCCGTGTTGTGTAGGTAATGAGTTTAAATTATGAGTTTACATTTTTAGGACACGAGAAAAAGTTTTAAACATTTTGTTAATGATAATCATACATATATTAATAAACGAAACTATAGGTAAGTTATAATGTTTTATTAAGGTACTATTTGTATTATTATATATTTTAATTGTTGGAAAACCTGCAAATATATGTGTTTTTTTGTGGGAGGGGGGACGAAAGGTTTAAAAATATACAATTATAAACAGATTTTTTCTAAATAAAGAGTTCTGGAGGGTTTATAAATGAAATATCTACATCGGTATAGTATTACTTTACGAAATTAAAATATATGGAAATGTTATAGACTATAATATGCCGAATACTCGGCACGTTACTGAATAAAATATAATAGATAGGTATATTGATATTTAAAAATTCAACAGCCCGTACAAAATCATGTTAGAAATGCTACTAATATAGTAATAACTATAACTAACTATAACTACTAATATAGTTATAACTATATCACTTAAAAGTCGATTTCCTATCGATGTTGTTTTTAAGGAACAATAATAACGACGGTTATGGGTATACAAGTACATTGGAAATATTACAAAGTAATTTTTGTTATCAACAGAAATATTGTTGTTTTTACTCTCGAGCCCAACGTTGAAATTTCTATACTACGCTGCGTGTTTTCCTCGGTACCCGTTAATAAAAATGACATAAATTATTTTTAATGCACTTTTATTATTCTAAAAATGATCGAATACTACTACTATAGGTATTTGGAACCGTGTTTTCTTATACGGGCACACCTACCAGGTGTCCATTTAAGTGTCTACGTTCGATATTTCGAAAAGTGTTTACTTACGAGTACTTATTTTCGTATTTCGAAATTATTTTTCGTCACCCTTATATTTTCGGTGATAAAAACACCATTCTCTTTCGATTTTATAAATAGAAACGTATTCGCAGTTTCATAAACAGATTACGTTTTAGTTAAATATATATTTCGGTGTTGAAAATTTCAATTTCTGAGATATTCCCACTTTTTAGTTTGATTAGAGTACGTGTCATTAGTGTGGCGGCGCGGCGCGCGGCATTTAAATAATGCTCCGCTGTTAAAATACATGGAAGTAGAAGAAGAAATGGTTATTTACAGGAGGGCGAGAAAATAAGTACAATACCCTTCCCCATCAACGCCCTCTACTTCTATATAGTAATGACGAAATGGAAAAATCATCGAATTAGAAAAAAAATACGATCGATAATAACAATGACAATTCACGTCGATCATTTTGCGCGTATCTTTTGCTATTTTAACTCTCCGAGGGTGTTTATAATGGAATACATCTCGTCATGGATTTACTTCAAATTCTTCTAGACGCATAAAGCATCGATTTATATTCGACGCATGTTAATAAAACCTATGTACATTGTACATATTATAAGAATGAGTATTCGATACGTACGAGATAATTTTGTTACGATGGCTATTATTTAATAAATAATTTTCCGAGTTCAAATGACTTAAACACGTTTTTAAACTTAAACATGTTTTTGTTCCTGTACGGATTGATAATAGATTCTCCGATTAGGTTATTCGCAATGCGAACAAAAGCATGATACTCCGGATTGGATTCCTTAAAACCTCAAACGGATATCAAAATAATACAGTATATTAAACTCATTTTAAACAACATCTCGGACTATAGAGTGTTGTTATTGTTTCGAGAAGTAAATTAAAAAAAAAAATTATTATTAGCTAATACCTAACGTTTTTTTTTGTTCTTAATAGTTTAATTGCATTCGAACTGTGTATTACGATGTATTTTTGTTAATATGTAATTTTTGTAAATTGGGTTCCAGCCCGTTATCTTTTAAATAAATAAATAACTCATATTTATCAATCCGATTAATTTTAGTATGTATAGGACTAGGGGAACCTAGAAGTATCCACACAATTCAATATTAAAGAGACTCCCTCGAAATAAATACTTTTATTATATTCAATAGTAAATTTTTTCACAAAATTAAATACCTGCAGCTGAATATTTTTAATTTTCTTTTACATTTAAGCGTGCCTCTATTTATCAGGGCCTCTATCCCATATGAGCCCTGGGCCCCTGCAACCCTAAATCCAGTCCTGCATGGTGGAGAATAAATTCTTAAAATATCGCCTTTGGACAACAATATCTTATACTAAAAAAAATCATTTCGTATTTCTTAATTTTTAATTTTAAAACGTTATTGTACACATTTTCGATATTTTGATACTGATAACAGTGATCTATCTATCTAACTATCCGCGGTATAATAATATAAAATAAAATGTGTAAAAAAATTTAAGTATTACCTAGTATATTTCGAGCATTTTTAAAGCATTCGCGAACAATAACATATGTAAAACCATACTTCAATATAGTACCCAAGTAATAACCGTATATCTACATAGTACCTATGCATACCCGTTATATTAACAGGTAGAGCGTATAGCTGTCGTAATAGTAATTATAATGTATTACTTTATTACTTAGATAGGTATTCGAAGTGTAAATTGGAAATACTTTACTGCCAGTTAACCTAGTAATATATAACCTGCATAATATAACATTGTGTTAAGCTACGGTCACACGATTATAGTCAAAACGTGATAGTGGCTATCGCGAAAATAAGATCGCTTTCGCAATAATTTACTATCAACATCATTATAATATGTGTCAATGTCATGATAAGCATACGTGATAACGAAAGTGTAACTTCGATCTATTATTATTATCTTAGAATTAAAATAGAGTAAATACATAGATACTATATAAAGGCGATTAAAATTGATTACAAATTTTGCAACCGAAAGACTTAACGCTTAGTTTTCGCTATCATGATAGTGAAAAACAAAAAGAATCTTGTTCGCACCACGATAGTATTTCTAATAGTTACTATCATTATCGCGATAGAACTAAATCAAACATATAGGTGTAGTAGTATGATAGTATTTATTGTAATAGCGTGATAGTATTGTTCACACGATGATTTTATAGGATAACTTTCATAATAGCAAACTATCACTGCAGTATTACGGTTAACTATCAACGTGTGACCGCAGCTTTAGTTTAAATTGGTTTCAAATCAAATGGACCGAAACGTTTTCATTTTAACGTGAAATATTTCACAAAATCGTAATAAACACAAATATTAAATTTACACCTTTTATTATTATAATAGACGGTATTGCGGCCATTTGTTTTATTTATTTGAACTGGTTTTTATTTTTTCAAGACGAAATTATTCGTTCATTTGAAATATATTATCAACACTTTTTTATTCACTAAATATCCAAATAATAACTTTAATATACAATCAGTTGTTATGACTTTGCGTACATAATATTTTGATTTATAGTTTGACTTTAACATATCCTATAGTACATTGTTCTCTTTAATTTACCGACGGATTAACCAGTATATTAGTTAATTAAATAACATCAGTTGGTATCAATTAAACCGAATAATAATAATAATGTATGAATTTACTTACTTTCATGGTCATTAGTTCTATTTATGTTATTATTTTTTTTTTTTGTAAAAACAACTTTTTAGGATGCTTATAATATACCTATTGTTCAACAAACATTAATATTTATAATGGGTTTTCTTATCTTAGTTTACTATATGTGTACATTTACCATTATTGAACGGCTCGTACTTTATCACATGTATTCTTAATGATTAATGGGTGTTTTTTCCCGTCTAGATTTGATTATACCTTCAGGACGGATACAACTATAACGGGGTGCATATTATATTAGGTACACAAACATTAACAAAATACACATTTCGCCAAATTCGGTAGTGAAATATAAATAATTAATTATGTATTATCATCATTTTACACGTAGATTTACTCGAACAATAAATAAATTGAAAATTCAACAATTAAAAAAATTAAAAAAATAGGTACGTAAACCCTGGAAATAAAAATTTTCCGAAAAAAAACCGAACACAGTAAATATACAAAGTCATAAATAATACTATATGGAGTTGCAATTATTATTATTTTTGCATAATATTTGAATTATTGTTATAATAATCGTTTATTTAATTATAAAAAATCTTTTTTTATAACTGCAATTTTTTTTTAAAAATTCTGTTTCAAATAGTTCTTCAACAAGAACATTGATAGTTATTGAAATTCTCAAAGATTGACAATATATTGAATTTTTTTTCATAATAAAATGTACACACATCGAAAATGCAGAGACTACTATAGTATTATTCAAATATACTCTATATACCGTAGCACTCCTTAGATACATTAACTTGAATCCTATGGAGGAAATGGTGAAATTTCGAGTGTGTATCATACGCAAAGTGCATTGATAGTTTTTTTATTGTTATAAATATAATTGTTAGATTTCGAATTTTTATTTTAATTTTGTTGAAACCTTCAGAAATCACTTCTGTATCTATTATTGTATTGGTAGGAGGATTGCATCTTACAGTTTGGATACCTATCTAATTTTACATTACGACAAACCAACGCGAGCCTGTATATCTGAAATTAACTTTCTAAACTGACTTAAAGATTGCACTAAAAAACAAAAAAAAAACAAAACAAAACAATAGTCTCATTAAAAATATATCCATCAACGCTAATGTATGGCTATCATTACCGGTGATTTCCTTTTATTTTTTTAATCGATACAAAAAATTATTCACATCTCCGTGCGCGTGTCGTTATTAGGCGTTTTTCTAGCGGTTCGTCGTTTATACGTTTCGACAATCCATGCATTTAGTTCTCTTATCAGATAGCAATATTAATAACCCGTTGACGGTTTTATCTAATTTATTGAAATACAGTATTGCAGACTTAAATCGTGTATTCTATGGATGTAGTCGTATGCGCATACTGAAATACACTAATACACGTATGCATGTTCAGAATTGGCTGATGGATCAAAACAATGAAAAATATGGTATCAGTTTCAGCGTTATCACTCTATAAGTCGTCATAAACCAGCTGATTCTGGGCATGCACACTCGTGTCGTGTACCGTGAAATTTTTAAGGCGGTCGGGATAATGTTGAACGCAATTGTCCAGAATACGAGCAAATAAACGCATTACTACGTCCATTGTGTATGATCTAAGAATGCTGAACATAAATCGTTATAATCAATAATCTCATAGTTTTTAAGTAATAACTTTTACGCGTCTTCATCACTACATCGATGTGCTCATCGGACTGATAGATAAAAACATTGGTTTAAATATTGCTACGCCGTATTACTGCGTAATAATATGATGCGTTAGACAAAGAAATATAAGGGAATTCCCTGTCCGTTTCGAATCCCTTTAAAAGTAATGGGCTTGGATATAGATATGTAAGTGTATGATATGTAAACACGACTAGAGTGAAATGAACTCGAAAAGAATATTTGAAAATTTACACAAATATTTAATAAAAAAAAAAAAGAAATATGCGAATATTTATAGAAGTGTACAAAAAAAAAATAATATATATATATATATGTATGTATATATGACGACATTTGAAATAAGTGAATAATTTTTCAAATTTTACCGGGCATATAAGAAATGTGATTAAAAATTGTAAACAATAGTTGCATACGTCTATATTAACTAATTTCTTCTCTTTCGCCTTCATCTCAACTGATAGTTAATTCAAAATAATAATAACAAAAATCGACTAACTTCAATTATTAATTTATATTTTACATTTTTAATGTTCAAATATTATCATTGATACTGTAGCTCGATAAAAATTTTTAAAAAAAAAAAAAAAAAATTAAAATAAATAAATACAATTTCGTGTACTAATCTTACATACGAAACAAATTTATAGCTGACGTAGTAAAAATAAAGGAAACATCCTAATTGTAATTTATTATCATAACAATAGGTGTGCAATACGTATACTATTTGATGAAAATGCGGAAGTTATTAGCACCAAGTGTTATATTATCATGTGCAATATGTATAAAACTATAAGAGCTTTATACTATATAGGTATACTGTATTATACTTTTCGACCCCGTAATTTCGAAATATCGAAATAACAATAAATTATTGCCGGTTCGCAGTACGACTTTTAATCGGCGTTCGAAATTTTTCTTTAGGTTTTGTTTTTTCTTCGAAACTTAAACTACACAACTTTGTATTATAATTGGGATTTGGGACTTATTACATTTAAAAAGTATTAAAAAAAAAAAAAAAAAATACTTAAAAATATCAATAAAGCATTTCATGCAAATATTATTAGACCAAAGGGTAGAAAGATTTAAATGTACTCTGTCTAACGAATCTAAATAATTATTAAATACAATTTACTAACGCTACATAAATTATTAACAAAAAGTTATTTTGTTCAAATAAAATTGTATGTACTATAAAAAAAATAACTTTGGTTTAATAATTTGTGTAGAGTGCTACATTAATAAATTGTATTTAAAAAGTTAAAGCCGTTAGAGGGGGAAAATTCAAACCCTTCTACCGTTTTTGCTTTCTCGCATATTTTTCAAAGTTGTTTAACGTTTTTAAGCCGGTTTTTTTTTTTTTTTTTGTGGATTTTAAGTGAAATAAGTTCTGAATCATAATTATAACAAACAGCTATTATTAATTTCGAATCCTTGGATCACGCGATATAATAATATTACAGTATACTTTTCGACACTGCGAATAGAATAATTTTTTCGATTGTTAATAAGTTTATTCGCGGTTTTATATACAGCCGACGTCGTCGTCGTCGTCAGGTTTTACATCATAATACATCACTGCCGTCTCGCACAGGGCCTTTGAAAACCTGCCGAAATATTTGGCTATTCGATCAGTTTTATGTATAATATTGATATTATAGTATCGTGCAGGTACCTAGTAGATGCAATAACACATCGGTCCTTTTCGCGTCGTAAATCGGAAATACTTCACACTACGACACTCCCCGATGTTTTTCGCCAGCCGTGCCTATAGATATACTTGTACACAATATTATAAATTTATAATATAGAAAAAAATAAAAAAAAATAGGGATAGTAAGAAAACTGAAGATCGATCACTTATATTAAAATGCGGTCGACCGGGACCGCGATAATAATGCGGGCCACGGTTCAATCGCGCCGTACAAAAATAAATAACGTTTCGAAAATATAATATTATATACGTTATGATGTATAGACGACGCGTGTCGATTCCTTTTCGAAAAAAATCTAGCGGTCGTCTTTACATAACACGGTCGGTGTGTGTAGGTACACCTATATCATATTATTAATATTGTTATTATTTTTTTTTTTAACGCAATAATCATTTACGTCAATCACGAATTAATAATAATGATTATTATGATAAAAGTAAAACGCATATTACAAATTAATTATAATATTATGTAACGATTAGATCAGATATGACCTAAAAATTAAAAAAAAAAAAAATGTATTCCCTAAAAATGACCGAAGGAAGCGTTCTTTAAATACGCTCTAAAACAACCAAAATAAAATTGATATTCGAGAATTGATTTATATTTTTAATTAAATCCTAAGAAAAATGTCTTATATTTTTCAAAATATTATAATTTGAAATACGCTTTTTATTGATATTTTTTCTTAAACACATACAATGCGGTTCAGTTTGCCTACTGATAATTACAAATATTGAACATTAATTTTGTAATTTTTGAGTCATTCGAGTTTTGTTGAATGAAAACTAATAAACAATGTACGAAAACCAGAAAAATTCCATTTAAAAAAGGTATTATTAAATCGATAGGTTATGAAATACATTTTAGTATAAACTTTTGACCAACCAATGAATATGCAATAGCCATGTAAAATCCATTCCCTTTCTCTTAAAAAGTTTCATTGGCGAGAGTATTTTTTATGTTTTAACAAAATCTACTTATTCAATAATTTAGCATTTATTTTTTTATAGTGAACACACAATAAGTATAATTTCACTCTACTGGATGTCAAATGGATTTTACTGTCTATTTAGACGAGGAAAACTTCCTTAAAAAAGATGACCTGAATGATATTTTTTAAATGTATGCTTGTTCTAAAATTTAAATATAATAAATGAAAATCAAGTATAGCGGAAAATCTGTTGCACTGTTTTTAATATGGGGAAGCTGACAAAAGAGGTTTAATAGGGGACTAAAGGAAATGGTGTAGGTACATGAGACCAGTAACTACTTTCGTCAAAGGTCAGAGGAACCCAAGTGATATTCTAAGTAAAAATAAAAATGATATATTATTATTTTCGAATGGAAACCTCATGGTAATCGACCGAGGGTCAGATCAAGGAAGAGGTGGATCGATGGAGTTGCAAAATCCGAGGGCAATGGACATAGAGAATTGGAATGAAATTGTACACTACTGAGATGGGTAGCAACGTGGATTGATGGTATTGTGGTGACGGCTAAAACTCTTAAAGAGCAGATTTTCCAAGGGAAGGATTAGAAATCAAATAGCTGTCACAGCTGTTATTTTTGTAAGAGTTTACGTAGCTATACCTACATGCTATTTAGTTTGAGATAGTATTTTATAGTTTAAGGGGCGATCTCTCGGAGTTTAACGCCTACGAAAATCACGACTATACATGTTATCATTATTATTATTACTATTACACCCGGTGTTGATAATAAGCTTTATTTGGTTTTTTTTTTTTTTAATTGTATTGTTTCAGCAAAGAGGACAAGAAATACGATTGCTGTCAATGGCAATGGACAACGCCAGCTTCGCCGCCCAGGTCGACTTCTCGCACATCCGGTAAACATTAAAATAGCAACTGCGGCTGCGGCGGCGTAGGTTTTATATTATTACTATTATACCACCGAAGTAGTTAAGGTGAAACATTATTATTATTACTATTATAGTACCTACAGCCGCGCAGTATTTTTATTTTTTATTTTTTTTTTTTTTGGATTTTTATCCCGAGGAACAGTTATGGTTTTTTTTCTTTTGTTTTTATTATACCCACCTATATACATACATAGGTATAATAATAATATACCATTACTAATTTATCATACTATAATATTATTAAACAATTTTACTATAATACTATACAAACCAAACAATTGAATCTTAATTCATGTTGGATTTCTACTAAAATATTATTATATCGTAGCGTTTAAGCATATAATTTTTAAGAAGATAATAATATATAATATATAATCACAATATTATAATATAAGACGTACCTAGACGTTTTAGTGTAGTTTTTAGTCATTTTTTTTTTTTTATATATAGTATTTTGGGCGTTTGTCAGTAAACATAATAATAATAAGTCAAAATATTTATAGGTTAGCGTAATATTATTGTTTACTCGCGGTGTGTAAGCGTCCTGGCTGCCGTCAGAATCAATTGACCTTCACCTCGCTTTGTAATTTTTATGGCTCAGATACGATTTTCGTACCGCCCGTCGTATTATAATAATACAATATGTGTACGGACTTCCTAAATTTTCCGGCATTGCGGTTTTCCGGCGTTTATCCGATTCTTTACAATGAAGTAATCACAGCGGAGGGACCGTTGCGAATGCTCCGCGTTACCCGAACATTAACCCCGTGCCCTCGATGATTATAATTTACGTACTGCGGATACGAACAAATCGCGAATCGTGTATTTTGACGAGTGTTGTTTATGGGCGACGATGGGCGTTTCACGCGATTTTCGAACCGAGTACCACCGACATTTAAAAACAGATATAACAATTATTAAGACTTGTGCACATCATTTTAAAGACAAACTGAACGGCATTAGTAAAAACTAACCGATAGTTACGTACGCAATTGATCCGGGCCGAAAACGGTCTTTGCAAATTCAATGCGCAATAATTGTGAATTATCGAGAATTTTTAGGTACTATATTATTAGTCGGCCACGGAGAACTGATAGTACTCTTGAAAGTGGTCGGTTTTGGTTAACTACAGAGAAGCGGTTAGTAAAAAAAGATTTTACCAAAAAAAAAAAAAAACCACGAAAAATAATACAAAACGTATTAACATATTATACCCATAAACAAAACGAATAAATCCCGAAAATCCACAACAGAATACCTCCCCTAATTTATAATAATATTATTATTATTTTTTTTTTTTTTACATAGAATATAATAATAAACGCTTTTTACGTCGAACGTTCGATCGTTTTACATTTTTATTTATCGTTTGTTTTCCTATATTATTTATTTTACACGTAAGATTTTATTATTTTGTTATATTATTAAATTATATACCTATACTTTCCTGTGCGTGCTATATTATATTATAATATTTAATGATTATGCGCTTGTTTTTTTTGTTTTTTTTTTGTGTTCTATGTCAATTATAATTTAGTTACATCTATAACTATATAGTTATTATATTGGATTTAATATTTTATACCGTTCGGTTAAAATAATTCACGTTGAGTGTTTCGTATTAAATAATAAATGTATACCCTTTTAGGTTAGGTACCTATAGGTACCTATGAGTACCTAAAGGTTTATAAACTATTTATCATAACCCATATTATATAATGTAGAAAATAAATCAAAATGTAGTGCGGTTGATTTTCATTACTAGTCAGTTATTATTATTAACTTAATACCTAATTAAAAAATTAACTAAGATACAACATTATGTAATCTACTATAATCTATTATAATATGTATTTATGTATTCAACTATATTATATAAATGTGCGATTTTGAAGTCTCAGTGTATTAATACCTAATAGTACTATATAATATTTATATACGTTTAGTCATTACTATTATATATGTAGTTTAGTAAATATAATATCTATTATTAATTTTAAAAAAAAATAAATGTTAATCGGCTTTTTAAACCGAAAAATAATTCTTAGTATATAATATTAATATTATTATAGCTGTTCCTCCAGTTATACACAAAAAAAAAAAAAAACAAAAAAAACAAAAAAACCAAAAAAATCATCCCTTTACCTATTTATTATGGCGAAATGTACGCATTTATGATTTACTTTATTATTATTATTTTTATTATTATTATTATTTAATTTTAATTATAATTTTAGTTTAATTCAAAAGAAATTAAACAATTTTCAAGTCTGATTATGTTTTAATTAAATTTTGTTTTATTATTTATTTTTTCCTAATTTAATTTATTTTAAAGTGTATTGTAATCCAATACTTTTAAGCATATTTATTTATTTTGTAAAACTCTAAAAAAAAAAAAAAAAAATATATTATTCAATGGTTTTATAATTTAAATGAATGCATTTGTAATTTATTTGTTTGTTCCATACCGTTTCCTGAATTAAATATTTAAAATATTATTATTCATTACATATAATCAGATATTCCAGCTGTCAGATGGTTTGTATGCTTACAATATACTTTAAAGTTGTTATCTTGAAAACTATGGAAATAATATGATAAAGTCATTGGTATATCATTTAAGGTTTGTTTCGGTGCATAAAAATAATTTTTTAACGATCGTTTTCAGCGTAACTGCAATATTTAACCCCCCTTTCTTTCACTAGAGAAAGTTAATTTGGGGTTAATATTTACTAATGAGATTTTACCGGGGGTAAATTTGATGAACGACAGATGTGTACATAACTATCACGAGCAAGGCGTTACCTTAAGATGATGATGATTTTTATCATTTTACCGATTGTAACAATTCTCTACAGTGAAATTGTGCACCCGGTTAAATTTCCCAAGAGAAAGGGACCTCCCTCATTTTGGTCAAATATGGAATCAATAGTCATTGATACGCTGGGACGAAAATTTTACAACGAGATTTATTGGAATCGAACACGAACATAATATGTTTCGCATCAGTGTTTAAATTATATATATATCAATGTTTTAATGAGTTAGTTAAAATAATGTTCGAAATGAAATTCGTTTGCATGAAAACCGCCTATAAATTATTATAATATGTACACTTTTATTCGGCATAAGAAAATTAACCTACATTAATCCTTAATTAACGATTTTAACGGGAATATGACGTGTGTCACGTCACATAATGGTTCAGTTAAGGTTCAAAGAGAAACCTTAAATAATTAACGAACTGAATTTTCTTTATTGTGCCGAAATGTTAGAAATAATAATATTGTGAACCTTTGTCAGTATTATAATAGACAATTATAAAGTATATTTTTCCTTATATTTAGGCTATGGATCAATAGGTAGAACGTTATATGCGCCTGTAATATTAAAGATTTACAACTACCTAAAACTTCCTGATACAACTTTTTCACAATAATCCGAAATATATCTTTGTTGAAAAAATTATTGCATAAGCCAACTGAGAAAGTGCCCTTGAATTATTCAACGATATTTTAATATTGTTATTTTTGAGTTATATTTGAGTGTATTATACTATTGCCCTTTTGGTCGTCGATGTATAAATAGGTAAATAATTTGGTGAATGTCTACGTTTTAATACGCCAACGAGCGTAGCTGTAGAATTTGTTTTCCAGCAGACTTGAACTTTTGATGAATTTACTAATATAAAATTAACAAAAAATAAGTGCAGTCAATATTTATGTAACAATGATATTTAAAAAACATAATCTATTTATTTTTTTAAATGAAGTTCGGAAAGACTAAATAGAGAGACTAATACCTATAAAAAACTTAAAAACAACTTTATTTTATTATTTTTGAAACATTTGAATAGAACTATTATATAGAGTTTATTATTTTACAAATTTTGACGTGTCAAATTTTTATTTTCATTAAATTTGTGATTTTTAATAATTTTTTAAATTTTCGAGAAAAAAAGTATACAGTCAATTAGATATAATAATAATAATCAATTAGCAAATGTGATTACGGCCTACTACATAAGTATAGGTCTTTTTTTAAACTTTAAAAAAAACTTAAAAATATTAATTAAAATATAAATATTTGAGTTTGTTAATTAAAAGAAAGATTATCTTTATTATCTTTAGAGATATTACAATAGGGATATGTATTATCTTTCTGGAAACTCTGTATATTATATATATGTATACGTCACTGGTGTGTTAGTGATATTTCATTTTCAGTAGGTAATTATAATTTTCGAATACCTGAATTACATTATCTTATTGAAATGACATACGTTTATTCTCCACATAAAAACAAATTGTTAGGTACTACCGATACTACTGATGGGCGTGCGCCACTGTTGCAAATGGGAAGTCGGGAATTATAGCATTCATAGAGTTCTTTAATTTTAGGTTACTAATACTTATATATTGTTTACGATTAGGGTTGGGATTTTATAAAACTAAAAATTGCATAAATATGTGCTGAAATTATAGTATGACCAAGTATAAAAATCTAAAAAACAGTGCATTTTAAATTGTAGGTATTCCATTTTAAAAAAACACCTCCGCTCAAATAATTAGCTAACCTGTATAATATTCTACTTATTTTGCCCGTAATAGCTCATCTTCATCCATACACATTTTTGATTTTATCTGATTACTATATTATTTTTTTTTTATTTTCAACTATAAAAACTAAGTAAAACTATGTATAATTACTGGAGTTTATAATGTTAATAACGTTTTTTTTTTTTTTGACATCAGTGATTCTCTATCACTACCGTTGTCAGTCACTTGCAGATGCTTGAATGCATTAGGTCAAACCATAAAATATTAAAATATAAATGAATAATCAAATTATACAAAATCATAAACATGTATTAGACCATAATATTTTCAAAAAAAAAAAAAGAAGCTGATTCTAGGGACTGTGCAATCACTGTTATAGGTGGGAAATTGGGAAGGTAGGATACATAAGGTTATTTCATTTATATCTTTAAGTAATAATAAACCATTGCTGACAAAAACGATTCCGAGTGCAGTTCAGTTATACATAATTTAAAGTGCCATCATTTTTTTTTTTTGCGATTTTCGTTTAAATTTGATTTCATAATGCTTATTAAAAAAAAACTACAATGAAACAAAAAAGTTTTTTTTCGTATTTTTTCCCCAGTTAATCGTTTTTATTTTAAATACCGTTTCGACAACCAAAAAATGACCTATGTACTTACCAAGTAGATAAAATTGAATTTCATAAAAGGTGCTACACTTATACATTGGAGCAAGTTTTCTAGGATAAAAGTGGTCTATAGTATATATATAAAATAATAATGTAACATTATAAACAAATTAAAAAAAGGAATAAAGTTGTCCGATGATTAAGGAAATTTTACCATGTCTAGGCAAAACAAATATAAATATTATTACCAAATTTCAAATCTTTACGTGTATTTATAACCGAATTACAGCAAAAAATTTCCAAAAATTCAAATTTTTTAAAAACTCAAAAATGTTGAAAATTATACCCTTAAGAAAGTTAATTAAAAAGGTAACAAAAAAGATTGCTTGTATTTTTTCGATTAAATCATTTTTTTTAGTAGGTTTTCTATGAGAAAACCGTCGTCCGTGTTATAAAATAATGAAATCGTGAAATTATACGTTTTCCTACGTTTTTTCCCACTTAAGTACTATTTTTTAAAAAATGACGTCAACAATCAAACAATGGCCTCTTTAAAGTACCATCTAGACAACTTGAGCTTTCAGAAAAGTGGCTACACGTAAAAATCACAGCAAGTTTACTAGGAAAAAAACGTGTTTACAGACTAGAACAAAGAAAAAAAAAATATCTTAATAAAACCAATACCTCCCTCACTACGCTCGGAATCCAAAAGAAGAAAAAAAAAATAAATAAACAGCATTGTAAAACCAATAGCTCCCTTGCTACGCTTGGAATCTAAAATAAAGAGCATTGTAAAACCAATAACTCCCTCACGGCGCCCGGAATCTAAAAGAGTACAATTTCATGTATTTAACACCATTGTGTTAAGGACGTAGGGAAAAGTACTATCCTATGAAAAAGTGTACGGCTATTCACCATAGTTATAATATGCCCTTAATGCCTTAAATATGGGTAAATGTGCGCTAAAAATATGAAAAAAAAAAAACGAACATTTATTAATCATTTACAAATTACTATAGGTAGTTAGCTTAACTATAATACCTATAGTACCTATAGTAATTTGTAATTTCTTTTTTTCAAAAAAAAGGACTAATTCCTTTTTATTATATTTAGGAACATGCCGAGCACTGGTTCAATGATAATCACAGTCGATACCGACAGAAAAAACCACCAAAAAATCAACAGATTTAAATTAGAATCAAATAATATGAAATACTAGGAACGGCGCGGCGTTACTCGCGTCGCATCAGTGAATCCACGTGATCGGTTTTTATACTTAATCTACTTATATATTTACTTTGACAATTTGATTGACAATAATCTAAAGACACTTTTACTGAAATATAATTGTATAAAGTATGACCAATTTTGATTCGAAAACAAGTCAAAATGCAAAAGTCTCAAAAGTTCAAAAATAGAACTGAAATCTAAAAACTCACAAAATATGTAAATAAAATTACTAATTTGTGTTCTCTGTATTATGAAACACGTATTTAGCTTACTCAGCTATTTCTTAAGTATTTTATAAAAATTATGCAAATGCTATAAAATTCCAACCCTATTTATAGATAAATCATTGCCACCGAAGTACAATACTGAGCGAAGTTTGGTTAAACAGATTTTAAAATGCCGTAATTTTTACGATTTTCTTGGAAAATTATTTTTTAAAAGGTTGAAAAAACTATTCGCAACTTTTTTTTATCACTAAGTATAACTTTAAATGAATCTCATGGTAAATTGTCAAGCATTTTTCTTTATTCAAAACAATTTTACTCACACAATAACAAAAACAAGTAAATAAAATTAACATTAAAACCCAAGAATGTTTAACCTTTACCATATCTAGATAGGCGAATATTTTAAGTATTTAGTGAAATTTGCAGGTCTCAACAATTATGTTCAACCTAATTTCAACGAAAAAATAAAATTGCAAATAAAACGAAACTGTTATTACTGTAAACTCTACCTTTTATCTTACAATTATTTCCGGGTTTTCTTAACTGATGACCTTATGCACTAACTTTAAAAGATTTTCTTTCAGAAAAGATGCTATTCTTGAAATTTGGAGTAAGATTTATATGGAAAACAATGAAAAAACAAATCGAAAACTTTTATGCTATAAATTTGTTCCTTTTTCCTGGAAGATTTTTTTCCAAATTATTATGAAAACTTCGAGGAAATCTATAAAATAATCTTGTCGATGTACCAACT